GATTCACTGCCAATACCCAGAAAATAAGGTATTCAGATTCAATTGCGACAAGAGCACGTTCGAGAGCAGGGGATATTGCAGAAAGACCTTCTACTTCTATTGCATCAACAGCTGATTCAATTGCTATCAATTCTAAGCCTTAGTCATCTATTTGATCAATGCAGCCTTATGGTTGTTCTTTAATCCATTATTTGATTTGCCGCCTAGGAAGGAAGAGCTAATCTTTCTACTTTACCAGTTTTATGAAATATTGAGTTACCTGCTAACTCATTTGCCCAGCGCTTATTCACCATCAGGAAAGACAGGAAATCCAGTAAGAAGGGTCAGGTAAGAGGCAACTAACATGCTAACAGCAGCCCACGTGGCAAAGAGCCTGTTCTATTAGTCCCACAGCTCCTTACAGAACACTTGCTACCGTGGCCTAAACGCTACGCACCTTCTACGAGGATATCCGGGAACATGTTACTTTTTAAAAGACTGGGATTTGGGCTAAGGATACCCCTTACAAGCTTCCCCTTCTTTATGTGTAAATGTGTAATTGGCTTCGCTTCATTGCAACCTATTTTGTGATGGAGAGATTGAAAGCATTAGGGTCGTAGCGTGAATGTGAAATTCCCTTCCTTCTCTTACGTTCTATGGGATCCTTCTCTGTGGTAGGTGTTGCTCTAAAAAAAGGGTTGGTAGCAATGGTTCTTGCAACATAGGCCATTCTCGGTGATGGGCATGACCTTGTTGTCTGAAATGCATACAGAACTTAGGTATTCAGAAAGAAACGATTTCTTGCTAGTGATCCATACACGGTAGATCCAATCCAAACACGATTTGGGAGGTTTTCCTTGGGAAGATCGACTTCTACACAAACCCTAGCTACGTTGGGGCATGAGACAAGCTTCGTAGGACCATTAAGGGTCAGGCCAATTTCGAAAGTAAAGATGATAGAAAACAGGCGAAACTCAAAGAAGAAGACAATAGGCAGATGGGTTCGCCCCAATAGGCGCATGCATTGGATCACCATTGCGGAGACGAAAATCATGGCTCCAGCAGAAAACCCTAAACATCAATCCCTCAATCAAAAACTGCTCTTTTTTTGTGCATATCTTCTTTGTTCGAGAGCTTGATGAAGATGTGCCATGGATCTAAAAGAGTGATCGACTCCCTTGGTACGCCAGTTCTTGCGAGCAAACTCCCAAATGACAGGTAGACGAGGGCGGCCTCGGAGGAAACGCCCCACCAAGTAATATCAAGATTTTTCCTCCGGGTTTCAAACCTCGGTTTCCTCAAAAGAAAATATATTGTAGACTCACCTCGAAAAACCGAAGGTTTTTGAGAGGTTTCGTCTCGATCGGTTTAGGATGACCAGCCACAACCGCTGCGTAGTTCTTCAGAGCGATCTCCGTAGGAGCTGCCAACGGGATGCCCATCGCAGCGGTAGAAGAGGAGGGGGAAGGCTTTTTCAACCCATTCCTTCATCGAAATCCATTCACCATCCATTATTAAGTAATCACGAATAGCAAGAAAAGAATTGCAGCAAGTCCTATGTGTCACGAGCAGGCACCACGGGTTGTTTACTTTTTGGTGGGGTGGAGGGCTTTTGGGGATGCATTATAGCACAGGCCGTGACTACGTTTTTCCGTTGGTTGATGCTGCGTATCGCACGCTTTTTATATTTGTTTATTTATAGAAGTATAACTAATTGAAAGCGCCTATGAATTAATTCCAAGAAAGCGCCCCTCTCTACCAACATGAAGCTCGTTGCCAATGTATAAAGATCGTTTCGACATCAAAAACAACAGTAATAGTGGATTTCAAATTGTGACCTCCCCATTGTTCTATCTCCGATTCATAACTAGAACGTGCAGTCGATAATGGAGACAGATATATAGAAAGTGTGCAGTGACGGATCTTTCTAGGTAGCCAGTCTTTACTTAACTCGGCCCAAACTTGACTTAGCCCCAGCAATGCCCAAAGACTCCCATGCCTTTCTTGGCTTTTGGTTGGTAAAGCCAACCCAACCGGCGATTTCCGACAAGTCTTTCTTCATTTTTAGAGCAAGAAGCGGAACTACAGGGATGAAATGAAAAGTGTTTCTTACGATTACGCCCAACAGCCCACTTGAACAATTTGCCATTCTACCATTGATTCCTATGAATATAGGAAACTTGTATTTATCATTCACAAATCCATCTTTGTTTATGCTACTAACTCTCAGTTTGGTCCTACTTTTGGTTCATTTTGTTACTAAAAACGGAGGAGGAAACTCAGTACCAAATGCTTGGCAATCCTTGGTAGAGCTTATTTATGATTTCGTGCCGAACCCGGTAAACGAACAAATAGGTGGTCTTTCCGGAAATGTTAAACAAAAGTTTTCCCCTCGCATCTCGGTCACTTTTACTTTTTCGTTCTTTCGTAATCCCCAGGGTATGATACCTTATAGCTTCACAGTTACAAGTCATTTTCTCATTACTTTGGGTCTCTCATTTTCTATTTTTATTCGCATTCCTATAGTGGGATTTCAAAGAAATGGGCTTCATTTTTGAAGCTTCTTATTACCCGCAGGAGTCCCATTGCCGTTAGCACCTTTTTTAGTACTCCTTGAGCTAATCCCTCAGTGTTTTCACCCAGTAAGCTCAGGAATACGTTTATTTGCTAATATGATGGCCGGTCATAGTTCAGTAAAGGTTTTAAGTGGGTCCGCTTGTACTATGCTATGTATGAATGATCTTTTATATTTTATAGGAGATCCGGGTCCTTTATTTATAGTTCTTGCATTAACCGGTCCGGAATTAGGTGTAGCTATATCACAAGCTCATGTTTCTACGATCTCAATCTGTATTTACTTGAATGATGCTACAAATCTCCATCAAAGTGGTTATTTATTTATAATTGAACAAAAGCGAGGAGCGAAGCCGCTTTACCGAGTTTACGAGGTGAAGGAGCGATAACNACTCTCAATTTGTATTTACTTGAATGATGCTACAAATCTCCATCAAAGTGGTTATTTATTTATAACTGAACAAAAGCGAGGAACGAAGTCGCTTTACCGAGTTTACTAGGTGAAGGAGCGAGAACTTCCCCCGGATCGAAACAAAAAAGATTCCGAGCACCTCTAGTCAAAGTCTATCTTGTCTTTACCACGAGTCATTTTCCTTGGCTAACAATAATGAAAGTGTTGCACATATCCGGGGGTTCTTCCATTTTCTTTCTCCCTCATAGAGGAAATAAGTAAAGTGGTATACTNCCAATAATGAAAGTGTTGCACATATTCGGGGGTTCTTCCATTTTCTTTCTCCCTCATAGAGGAAATAAGTAAAGTGGTATACTATATTTATTCTCTTATTAGAACTCCTTCTAATGACCTATGCATTCTGTTATCATTTCCAATTGGACGAGCCATTAATCCAATTTGAGGAAGAAATTCACTCTTTCCATTTTTTTTAGGTCAGTCACCCTTTACTTTTTAAGGGGCTTGGAGCAGATGAAGCCTTCCTTCTTTTCTTTTTTCTCGGTCCGCTTTGGCTCCTGATCTTGAGCTCGCTGTTCTTGGCCTCAGACTTGGCTTCTTTTCTTGGAGTCCTTGCCTTTTCGAGACTTTAGGTCCTTGCCTTTGGCCTGGTCTCGACTCCCCTAGCTAAGTACTTTCAATCTAGCGGGCTAGCTGCCTATGCCGCCCCTAAATTTTGGACATTTTGGCACAAGTTGGAGCCCCTTCAGGAAATCGAAGAACTGGTCCTCTTCCGTCATATAAAAAATGTCCAGGGAAAACTACAAAAGATGGCCTTCACCTACTCGCGTATGGGGCCTGTTTGCTTCAGGCTCATCAACATGGCGGACCACAACCAAGTAGGAACCCTCCATTCCGCCTGAAACTCATCCTCAAAATGGATCTAATTGGACTTCACGCTCTGCGTTCTTTAGGTCTTTTGGTCCGCCACCAGAACTTGGCTGAACCATCAAGATAGATGGCAGCCGTATTCACCGACGCCTTCTCGGATGTAGTCCGACAAGCCGCTCCATATCCCAAGAGTCTTTGATCCTTAGCATCTTGGGACGAATGCCTTTGGTTTCGCTTGATTCGAACCATCTACATCGAGCCACTACTTACGGGCTTCTTTAGTATGGTGACCTCACCCCTAATCTCTAAAGCTTGCCACCCCTATATATTAGTCAAGCTCGAAACACTTCCACGACCCCCTGCCCTTGGCCTTCCATCATGGTCCGCCTAACCAGATGATTATGAATTACTTCTAGTTAATATTCTATTAAATAAGTTTTAATAGAGAGAATATTAAACTTGGTAAAATAAAAAGATTGATTTAGGAGAGAGGGGCATCATGTTCCTTCGGGTCACACTACCCAAACATTGGCATCTATCACATTCTTTACTAGACAAAATACAATCCTTTATAAGAGAGGGCCAATAGAACCTCGACTGTAAAATTTTTTATGAAGTCTTCTTCGTAGAGAAATGGCCACCACATGCTTTCGAATGGAAAAATGTAAGGACTTACCGCTGTTCATTCTCCGGTAAGCATCTTTACATGGCTTGTTCAAGGCAGTACTTGAACAGTTACAGGTTGTCGAAGTAGAAGTACTTCACATCCGCCATAAATCTTCTTCGATCCTCCAGGCTCAAATCCGGTGGTTTTTGTCCTATTACAAGATAATGACATATCTCAGCATACCTAGGACACACAGAATGAATTGTAAGTAAATGTTCATCAAGGAAGAAATCAGGGATAGGAATGTGCTCATCGACCTCTTGCACCACCAGTCAGGACAAATGATTTACCACCACATTCTCCACTCCTTTATTATCTTTGATTGCCAAATTAAACTCTTCGAGTAGGAGGATCNCTACTCGCGTATGGGGCCTGTTTGCTTCAGGCTCATCAACATGGCGGACCACAACCAAGTAGGAACCCTCCATTCCGACTGAAACTCATCCTCAAAATGGATCTAATTGGACTTCACGCTCTGCGTTCTTTAGGTCTTTTGGTCCGTCACCAAAACTTGGCTGAACCATCAAGATAGATGGCAGCCGTATTCACCGACGCCTTCTCGGATGTAGTCCGACAAGCCGCTCCATATCCCAAAAGTCTTTGATCCTTAGCATCTTGGGACGANCCTGAAACTCATCCTCAAAATGGATCTAATTGGACTTCACGCTCTGCGTTCTTTAGGTCTTTTGGTCCGCCACCAGAACTTGGCTGAACCATCAAGATAGATGGCAGCCGTATTCACCGACGCCTTCTCGGATGTAGTCCGACAAGCCGCTCCATATCCCAAAAGTCTTTGATCCTTAGCATCTTGGGACGAATGCCTTTGGTTTCGCTTGATTCGAACCATCTACATCGAGCCACTACTTACGGCCTTCTTTAGTATGGTGACCTCACCCCTAATCTCTAAAGCTTGCCACCCCTATATATTAGTCAAGCTCGAAACACTTCCACGACCCCCTGTCCTTGGCCTTCCATCATGGTCCGCCTAACCAGATGATTATGAATTACTTCTAGTTAATATTCTATTAAATAAGTTTTAATAGATAGAATATTAAACTTGGTAAAATAAAAAGATTGATTTAGGAGAGAGGGGCATCATGTTCCTTCGGGTCACACTACCCAAACATTGGCATCTATCACATTCTTTACTAGACAAAATACAATCCTTTATAAGAGAGGGCCAATAGAACCTCGACTGTAAAATTTTTTATGAAGTCTTCTTCGTAGAGAAATGGCCACCACATGCTTTCGAATGGAAAAATGNTAGACAAAATACAATCCTTTATAAGAGAGGGCCAATAGAACCTCGACTGTAAAATTTTTTATGAAGTCTTCTTCGTAGAGAAATGGCCACCACATGCTTTCGAATGGAAAAATGTAAGGACTTACCGCTGTTCATTCTCCGGTAAGCATCTTTACATGGCTTGTTCAAGGCAGTACTTGAACAGTTACAGGTTGTCGAAGTAGAAGTACTTCACATCCGCCATAAATCTTCTTCGATCCTCCAGGCTCAAATCCGGTGGTTTTTGTCCTATTACAAGATAATGACATATCTCAGCATACCTAGGACACACAGAATGAATTGAAAGTAAATGTTCATCAGGGAAGAAATCAGGGATAGGAATGTGCTCATCGACCTCTTGCACCACCAGTCAGGACAAATGATTTACCACCACATTCTCCACTCCTTTATTATCTTTGATTGCCAAATTAAACTCTTCGAGTAGGAGGATCGAAGAAGATTTGGCATCCTACTTAAACAACAAATACTTCAAAGTAGAGTGATCAATACAGACTACTATCGGTGAACCAATGATGTGTAAACCCCCACACTCTTATGTTTATATAGGAAGTAATCATTTCTTTTTGAAATGCTAATACGGTAAAACTCGGGTAAATATGTGAAATCGTTTGTACTAGAACTTGTACTAACTATATTTGATGAAAAATTTATGTTGTATAAGTTTGGGTTGGTTTTGGAAGGGTTAAAAGTGAATTGGAAATGAAAAACAGGAAAAAGGGACAAAACTGCCAAAAGGTACCGATACATGTACCGATACGCCGAAAACTAGTAGCCATACCGTACTGGTACGCCCGACATATTCCAAAAGTTTTAAGTCGCGATCTAGGTCCGATTTCTTCCACTATAAATACATGAAGACGTCCCATTTAGTCCCATTTCAACACCTCAAACTCTGAAAAATCTTAGAGAGGAAGAAAGGAAGAGAAGAACACAAGATAANGGATACGTGTACCGATACGCCGAAAACTAGTAGCCATACCGTTCTAGTACGCCCGACATATTCCAAAAATTTTAAGTCGCGATCTAGGTCCGATTTCTTCCACTATAAATACATGAAGACGTCCCATTTAGTCCCATTTCAAGACCTCAAACTCTGAAAAATCTTAGAGAGGAAGAAAGGAAGAGAAGAACACAAGATAAAAGGGGATTTGCGCATTGGATTGAATCAAAACCCAAGATTTCTTCAAGAACACCAAGGTAGGGGTTTTCTTCCATTCTTGTCCATTGATGCTAGGGTGTATATATATACATTTTTTGACTCTAAAGCTTATATATATGCATGAAAAACCTTGATTCTTGATATTTTTTCAAAAATTACCATGTTTTAAACAAAGTTAGAGTAGATAACCATGAAATCTCTTTTCTTGGTATAAAACCCTAGTTTTCAAAAGAAATGGTTTTTCCTTTTGATTCTTCCTTTGTTTTGGAATTAAAAACTCTAGGGCTTTATATTGAACAATAAAATGTTATGGTTTATGATCTTTTGCTTATTTTTCTTCTATTGATTTATAGTAATACTACATGAAAATTTGGGGATTTTGGAATTGGATTGTTATGTGAGAAATTTGTTGGGGATTGTATCTCTTGAGGATGTTGGGATGACCATGGGTGGCCGTTGACCGAGTATCGTAGAGTGGGTAGATGTGTTTCTTACTCTGTGTGGGTTTGAATTTTTCCTACCACTCGTAGTGGGGTTGGTACTTTGTTAAGACCATACTACTATTCGCTCATGGGTACTGAGGAGAAGGGGTAGTATACTATTCCTGGGTTGGATTTGTCACTGCCATGAGTTGGTATACGCCCTTCTTAAAGGTTAGATATCCTTGCGAGGATTTGGGTGTGTGTATGTGGGCCAGGATATTCTCGATGTGTTTATTCATGCGAAGCATGCATCATACCTGAGATACGAATTCAAGTTGTGGGTTATGGTTTATTATACCAGAAACGTTTTCCTATAAGAGCTTGTGGAGGTATGAGACTCTACAAGAACTTGTGAAAATAGTTTATGGTTCGAAATGATTTACTATACTAGTAATGGTTTTCTACAAGAGCTTGTGGAAGTATGGGATTCTACAAGAAATTGTGGGAAATGGTTTATAGTTGGANTAAGAGCTTGTGGAGGTATGAGACTCTACAAGAACTTGTGAAAATAGTTTATGGTTCGAAATGATTTACTATACTAGTAACGGTTTTCTACAAGAGCTTGTGGAAGTATGGGATTCTACAAGAAATTGTGGGAAATGGTTTATAGTTGGAAATGATTTGTTAATTGTAATTTGACATTATTACTTCACTTAATTTGTTGTTATTGTGCAAACTTGAGATCTATTGAAATGTTCCTGTTTTCTTTCAAAAATTAATATATAATATTTGCGAAATGAGATCGACTTCCTTTACATGCTTTCTAAACCTTATTCGAGTTTGGGAGGAATATTACTACAGAGCTTAGTGCTCACCTCCTACAAACAATATATTTACAGATTATATGCTAGAGGCGGAGCTTAGAGTCGATGAACAGGTGCATTTGGAAGCTCTACTAGACGGGCACGTAGAACCCGAGGTGGATGCTTAGGGCTATACTCTCCTAGGTACTAGNATTCGAGTTTGGGAGGAATATTACTACAGAGCTTAGTGCTCACCTCCTACAAACAATATATTTAAAGATTATATGCTAGAGGAGGAGCTCAGAGTCGATGAACAGGTGCATTTGGAAGCTCTACTAGACGGGCACGTAGAACCCGAGGTGGATGCTTAGGGCTATACTCTCCTAGGTACTAGACTAGAACATTGCTTTTGAGACTCGGTGGAGTCTAATATATTTGTTATTCCGCTGCAAGTTAAATTTGATTCTTTTAGATATAATTGCCAGGGTTGGGCATATTCTTTTGGGATGATGTTGCAAATATTAGATATGATGAATGAATTTTTATTTATTGATGGATTATGTTAGTTGCTCTCATGATGTGAATGGTTTTAAATTGTAATGCCGTCCGAAGTGGTTTTTGGGGCGTTACATGATGTAAGAACATAATTTATCCAATGCAACTACTACTGCTAACAATTCCTTTTCAGTGGTTGTATAATTCATTTGTGCTTCGTTAAGGGTTTTGCTAGCATAGTATATTACATACGGTCTCTTATCCTCTCTTTGACAGAGCACTGCACCGACTGCGTAATCACTCGTGTCGCACATAAGTTCAAAGGGTAAGTCCCACTTGGGTGGTCGCATAATCGGAGGTGTGGTAAGCATACTTTTTGAGTTTTGAAAGGATGCCTCACAATTATCCGACCACTCAAATNTATATTACATACGGTCTCTTATCCTCTCTTTGACAGAGCACTGCACCGACTGCGTAATCACTCGTGTCGCACATAAGCTCAAAGGGTAAGTCCCACTTGGGTGGTCGCATAATCGGAGGTGTAGTAAGCATACTTTTTGAGTTTTGAAAGGATGCCTCACAATTATCCGACCACTCAAATAGGATATCCTTGGACAGTAAATTAGTCAAAAGTCAGGCCAATGCACTAAATTCTTTGATGAAACGATGATAAAAGCCAGCATGGCCCAGAAATGACCCAATATCCTTTATGACCTTCGGTGTAGGGAGGTTGGAAATTGCCTCAACTTTTAATTTGTCCACTTCGATCCCCTTTTCCAAGACAATGTACCCGAGCACAATTCCTTGTGTCACCATGGAGTGACACTTCTCCCAATTCAAGACTAAGCTTTTCTCCTCACATGTNTAAATGACCCAATATCCTTTATGACCTTCGGTGTAGGGAGGTTGGAAATTGCCTCAACTTTTGATTTGTCCACTTCGATCCCCTTTTCCAAGACAATGTACCTGAGCACAATTCCTTCTGTCACCATGGAGTGACACTTCTCCCAATTCAAGACTAAGCTTTTCTCCTCACATGTCTCGAGAACTCACTCCAAGTTCTCTAAACATCCATCAAATGAATCCCCAAACATCGAGAAGTCATCCATAAACACCTCTACAATCTTTTCCACCATATCACTAAAGATTCCCATCATGCAATGTTGAAAGGTTCCAGGGGCAGTACATAGCCCAAAAGGCATGCGACGGTAAGCAAAAGTACCGTAGGGACAAGTGAAGGCAATCTTTTCTTGATATTCCAATGTAATCTCAATTTGATTGNGCAAAAGTACCATAGGGACAAGTGAAGGCAATCTTTTCTTGATATTCCAATGTAATCTCAATTTGATTGTAGCTAGAGTATCTATCTAAGAAGCAATAGAATAGATGCCCCGCTACTTGTTCCAACACTTGGTCGAGGAATGGCAATGGGAAGTGGTCTTTTCTTATACATGATTTGAGCTTGCAGTAATCAATGCATACTATCCATCTGGTGATTATCCTTGTTGGAATAAGTTCATTATCCTCATTTTCCACCACGGTGACTCCTAACTTCTTTGGTACTACTTGCGTGCGGCTAACCCACTTACGATCAACAATCAAAAAAATGATGCCTAGGTCAAGTAGTTTTAGTACCTCATCTCGCATCACATCCTTCATAATTGG